CACATTCACGTCGGATGACGCCTAATGTCGTCATTCAAGATTTTCCCTTGGGTGCGGATGACGCTTTATGTCGTCATTTAAGTTATCGTTTAACTATTCTTTAAAAATATAATTTTTTCCACTTGTTACTAGATTTTTTCCATATGTAGACACTAATAATAAACTGAGGAATTTTTTCCCAATAATATGCTTTATCTTTTCTTATCGTTTCTTCCTTTATACGTGTATCTATACTTATTCATTGTTTGGCCGCTACTTATCGAAACCAGCACCTGAGCCTCGTAAATAAGCACTCTGTATTGTGTTCGATTATCGCTCTACAAATCTATCCTCAAAATATATTCTCTTTTTTATTTATTCAAAAGATATTTAACTAGGATTTTTAGGAAATTTGAAATGGAATATTACCTAGTATCTACTCTCATTTTTGTGTATAAACAAGTCCTATGCTCCCTTCTTTAAAATTCCATACTGAAATATTAATTACATAAAAAGTTATAGTAATTTTTCTAAACCTATGCGCGACTGTAACATTTGACAAAAAACGGCCCCGTACCCACGGTAAGCACAGCCAGCAAACGCCCCGTCGCGAATGTGTTAACTTACGTAACCACAAGAAAAGCCAATAGCCAGCCCTACGTGATTCGTCGCGTACGTGAAAAATGTTAATAAAGAATCCCCAAAGTGCGACTCCCTTCAAACTCCACGAAAGGTACACGTCTCGATCGTCAGCTTCTCGGACGCGATTTCTCTCGGAGAAAATGTTTTTGCGCGACTCTTGACAAAATGCGCAGCATTCACCCGACACACGTCTGGTATGTAACGTCTCGTTCGTTCGCGGACTCGCAATCGCAATGGGGATGAGGCAGAGCTACAGGGTGGATCGGAATGCAAAGGGGGACCGAGTTCGAAGAAGAATGCCAATGCGTTAAGGCAAATTGCTCGCGAATGGTATTCGATATGGCCGGGTGCGAGTCCTTCGTAATAATAAGGGGTAGCAGCAACAGTCGTTCGCTTCGTTAACGTCTGCGCGATGCTTGTGCGCCCACTTAAGTACTCGCGAACACATTGGCCTTCGGTGCTTGGCGCACCGGAGTCATCCTTGTTTATGGGGATGCTAATGAACAGCTACAACTTTATAAACTCGCGCCATCGTTTTCCATCTTCCTTCGAAGAAACATAGTGGCGCGGAATACGGGAGGTACGCGCGAGTCGTACGAGTTTCCGGACTATTTGCAGAAAGGACATACGGAGTGCAAAAGGTATATACGCGTATATACAGTCGCCGTAGCCATCGGAGAAGTGTATCATGTTTCTCAGTGGTTCGTCTGCGAATTAATAACGTGGATCGTTAATTAACCAAGGCAAGCAAGAGAACTGTAACATCCGAGCGGTAGGTGTGAATTCATCGATCCAATTACCCGGGTAACGAAGTGTACCGACTACGTGTATCTCTAAACATCATGACGACAAACCACCCATCCGCGATATCGTAAACGTCCTTAGCTGTACCATTTTTTTTTTCATCCCCTATCCTAAACCTCATTAACCGTTTTTGACATTTACGTATTAAGTCATGAGGTGCGCGAAAGGGTTACTACAGCTACCATATATAAGACCAACCTACAAGAGTCTCTTGGTACCGTTTATGCTGTTTGGTAATACACCATTAATGAACTCATAGTACAACAGTTGGGTTTTTGTAGTCGTGGTTTAATAACCGACTAAAACGCGTGCATAAACGAATTTTCAACCGGGCTCATCAATAACAGTTAGAGAACGATTATCGCCTGCGTCGAGAAACAACGAAAAAAAAAAAAGAAAAAAAAAAGAAAGGACTGTGCCTCGCTATACTGTATTATTCATGAGCCAGATACAAAAAGTCATTGAGACATGTCCCAATCGTCTACACGCTAATAAGATACAGTCCTTAATAAGGGAAATGACTAATCCGAATCAACGAGAGTAAAAATCGTATAACAACTAGGGTGTTATGTATCGAGGTTATAAAAAAAGTTTACAGACCGTAATTCAGCTGATTGGAGACAAGCATGATTAAACGTCATCCGCAGAGAAACGTCGAGACTCCGCGAAGTTACTGAACGGAAGAGCGAGCCGCGAGATAGTAAGATCCGCACAGACGTCCATAATGATCCGTCCAATTAGAAAGAGAATCAAGAGCCAGTTCCAGCGGAGCGGGACGAATCGAAAGAGCCTCTGGTTATTCTCCCACGTAAATGGTCAAACGATTTGCTACCCAATTACAGAGTAGGTGGCCACATTTACCAAGGGATGGACCCGACCATTCCTTTTTCTTAGTTTTTCTCTATCTGGCTGTCTAGCAGATGTTGCGTCAGTCCTGAAGATCCACGGTAGATACTTGGAGGGTATGATTAACGCGTGACTTGTATATCTGTATGTATACCATCGGTAGTGTCCGCGTTCACGTATGCGGTGCATCTTTATATATGCATATATAACAAAAAACAGACAGGCTATCTCGTGGGACGGAGCCCGCGAATGAATGATGTTACCCGCTTACCATAATAATCCCGTATTGCCGACCGTTTCAGGAGGCAGCCAATGCGCGAACCGCCGTGAAAACACTTACCAGATACGAGCGTAATTTCTCTTTTCCCTCTTTCGCCAAGATAGAAGACAGCCCGAAGCTCCTTGGCTTTCGTTGTGCCCGGTCGCCACGAGGCGACGTCGGAGCTCCGACGCCCTTTGCATTGCAGATTCTCAAGAGTTAATCGGGGCCAGGTGCCCCGAGGAGAAGCGACTACCCCCGGCTTTAAGATTCTCATAGGTAGACGATTTGTGTTCGCCATAGTCAGAATGGATTTTACTATTTCTCTGGCTTGACAGGCGCATCGGTTACTCGAATATAATGACTTCGGAAGAACGGTATCGGGGCATTACCGGAAGTAATGGAAATCGACGAAGTAAACGAAAGCATTCAATTTCAATATATCCGATGCTACGTAGAATGCGTTTGAATAATAATTAAATCGACATTTTTTCAGTCTTTTTACTCGTCCGATCGTACGGTAGTGATAACGTTAATTGCACTAAATATTCTTGTACCGTTTCTTACATACCCAGAGCGTAGTACCCCTTTATCTTTCTAAGAGCAGGTGCGCCTGGTAATTACACCTTTACGTCCCTTTATCGTATCGTACCACGGATATAATTGAGGGAAACGGCTGGCTGATCAGTTCTGCTTTTTTACTTAGACTTCTTCATCGCCTTTATGTATAATTCCTTAAAACCCCGCACACGCACTTCGCCGGTGCAGACAAAACACCGAATGCACTGCGAACGACGCTCGTTAACTTTCTAGGGGCACAAGAGAGACGAGACTCGGGATCAGTAAGAATAGCCCCGGGTGTCTACTTATAGCAATGCTCGGTGCCCTTGTGATACGTCACGATTATACCAGGTAACATTTGTAGCCCTTACGCCGTAAGCCGTAACGAGGATAGACGTATAATACAATTCAGGAATTAACATTTCATTCGATATACCCGACTAGGAATAATTTATTTTTATAATTCCGCTATAATCCGCCATTAAGATCTCATCTCCCGATTAAGGATCGCGCACTACCTTACCAATTTCCCTAGACGTAAATGGTCCTCAATGGTTCTCAATTATTCCCATGAACCTGTCTAGGGACGCAATCGTCCTTTATCCTATCCATATATGCATATACACATATACATAGTCCGTCCTTATCCACATAACGCAAAAGACGTCACGAGCCGGGGGTCCTCTTTGAACAAGATGGGGTAGCTGCGAGGCGTCCTCTAGCTGTCATCTGTAATATCATCGATCAGCCCCGGTAACTATCCCGGAACGCAGAGCACACGAAGATACCGCCGTATCCCAACTCAATATATTCATTCCACGTCCTTTCGGATAACATCTATCCCTTTTCTCGGGCGTCCTACGTATATCCGATGTAATCAGGCATCATATCGAGGAACCTGCTACGATAGCACAAGGGGACGTTATAATTGATCCTCAGACCTTCGCACTTTCATCTCGTTGATACCAATGCAAGCCGAGATAATTGTACAGTCACCACCTAACTCGACCAACGTCGCGATGCATCTGGTTCGCGTGTAGACGCAATCAGTACTCTTCTCGTGCCTTCTCTTTCTTTTTGTCTAAAGAGTATACTAGATAGGATGTATCGGCAGTCGGAGCAATCACAGACCTTGGCTAAATGAATAAACGCTATCCGGCACCAGCCGTGATGAGTTATAATACGCTACCGCGAACAGGTTGTACGTATAAACTTTCACCGGTTCGATGTAAATAGATTGACGATCTCGTAAGTGCAAATACTAAATGTAAATGGTATCAGAATAGCACACGTGTTACAGTTATCAGAAGTAAGGCGCTGGGGAGACACGTACGTGTCTGCTGCTAGACTACAGTGCCAATAAGAGAGGAAACCGTGTACCCCGTTATAACCTACTGATTCTTGCAATGAGAATACATAGTCGTGTTACAGTGACTATCGACTGTTGGATTTCACTTTGTAGATTGCAACTGCTGATATCGACGGAGACCACGATTTCCTGTCTGGTTACAATGCTAATCGACTTGAGAAAGGTTGAGAGTTGACGAAACCGTTCTAGCCATTTTTCGGAGTCTATCTCGTATAGGTAGGTAGACCGACGGTACTATACGTCGTGGCCAGTATGTATGCTGATAGTGCCCCTTACATTCAGGCTCATTATACGCCGAAACGTAATTCGTATAATTAGACACGGTCAGCAGTAAATTGAATGGAAGGTGCACGCTCGTTTATCCGAGACAGGTGTAAGAGAGAGTCTTGGCAATGCTGAAGTCTCGGACGAAAGCTGATTCTCATCTTGGATATGAGAACTCCCTTGTTGATCTGTATACTTACATCAGATAAGTCTACAGTCTCTCTCAGCTACTTCGATGGTTTCCACACTTCCTATTTGGGACATAAGTTCACGTACCTTGGGGTCGAAGTTGAAGACCTGATCAGGCCTAAGCGGACACTCGAGACCGCACTTGCAGGTCCCCGCTGTCGTCAGGTACTCCTTCAGCTGATCCAGCGAACCCAGCGCTGTACTGCTTGGACTGTAACAGAATTGATGATTCGTTAAATCAGGGAGTAATCGTGTTGTATATACTTATGGGGGATTAAACTTATTTATCTATACCCCCTTTTTTTACGGTATTACATACTTAGTCATACCATAGGTCGTGCAGCCTAATTGACCCCGGGGGGATTTTATGTGTTTATACACTCCTGGCAGCAAAGACAATAAGGCTGATGTATTGTAATTCACAGACTCGACAGGGTAGATGAGGTCGGTGTATTAACTGGAGATATTGTGGCTTGATGCAGGGTCGAACTGCGGTTTGGGGACGTTCGCCAGAGAGAAGAAGAAGGGGTAGGAGAAGTCGAACAAGAAGAGGAGCTAGTTAAGCGGAGATTGGAGGGAGTGAGGGGAGTTAAGGCAAACCTCAGCTGGACGGGGAGACCAAAGGGATGAATATGGCTGATAAAGCAGGCAGGTACACAGGGGCGAGTGGGGTGGCCGAGGGGAGCGGAGAGACCGTTGCTTGTATATTGATTACCCGCGGGGGCAGAGCCTCGCCAGAGACAGAGACTTGTTTCGAGGTACTTTACAGCTTCCTAAACTAATAACCCCAGGCGCTTCGTCCCGGTATTATACCCCAAGCTCTACCACGGGAGACTCATCCCCTGCAGCAACGACGTCCCCGTCGATAATTATTACCCGAGATAATAAAACATCGAAGTTGAATTGTGATAAGCTTCGACTGGCTCTCCTTCGAATCCCCGCTCATAATTTATCATCTCCATTCACTTCGTATTCTACGTCATACTATCTTTTTCCCTCCCGAGCATTTTCCATCCCACGAGGGTCACCCCTTCCGTCGGGAAGTTAATTTCTATTGGATTCAATTTACCAGCGAGCTCCCAGGGTGCTCCGCCGCGTTCAATTGAAGATTCAAGTGCGCCGGAGAAATGGATTAAGAGGGTAAACATCGCGCGGCCCTGCAGCAGCGAGGAGATCGGGGAAGGGTGGCGTTCGTCGGTAAGGTAGAGAGCGAAGGGATTTAAAAGAAAAAAAAAAAGAACAATGGAATACGAAGGGTGGAAGAAAAAAATGCTTTCTGCCACACGGTTAAAAAGTTTTGGACTTCCGGGGTTCCTCGCTTGGAAACAGTCTGCTTCTCTGGATCCCAAAATGCAAAGCGTTCCCCCCGTGCATAAAAATATCGGCATTCGGGAGGACCGCGCGATGGATCTCTCCCTCGAGTTAAGGGCAGAAGGAAAAGGGCGAACGCCCAAGAGGACGGGATAAGCTTTGGGTTCCCTTTGAGGGTGAAGTTTATCTCGTAGATAATACAAGAACGGCGTGCCCTGCCGGCGCAACCCATTTCTGCCGCGCAGGCAACCCGCAACCGAATCTGAATACAGCTGTGATTCCATAAATAACGCGCGGGACCGCGAGGCCACGGCATCCACTTTCGAGAGAATGGGAGTCGAGAGGTATGCGCGATGAATTATATTTAGGAAGGGCTGCCTAAGCTGCTTGTCCTCGTAAAGTAGGCGAGCAACTGTACAGCCAGCCAGTCGGTCTGCCAGAGAGCCAAGCCATCCTCAGGAGCCAGCCACCCTTTTTCCCTCAGCATCCCTTATTCCATCGCTCCCGCGAATACCTACCACTATACTGTCCTGCCACCCTTTTCCTTTTCCATTCCCTCAAAGACACCCTAGCGGACCCCAACCCCAAAATTATGTAATCATCCTTGTTCCCAGTCAACGTGGCTCGGCACGATTTTACTTCCGACGACCATCTTTCTTCACCCTCTTCCAAAGACGCTCACTTAACGTCCTTCATTAAGATATTACCAAGGTACCTTGAAAGCCCAAGGGCCACCCCGACGCGGCTGTTCTCAGACTCGATTTTTCTTTTCTACCCTCTCTCTCTCCTCCTAATCGTCCGGAAGTCTATCGTTATCCTGCAAAATAGCACTCTCGTAGAAAGCCAGTCGAACGGACGCAAACTACGTGCACGGATATGCCTATACCAACCGTATGGAAAGTTCAAGAGACCCATAAGTGATTTACCGTTTGGCACACTAACGTATTTGCCAGTTATCCACTCGCTTATAGAAACTCATGACGACTGGTGTCAACGTTGTAAAATAATCGGCAGTCTGTCGCTCGTGTAGACGATTGACTCGCGGTGCTCGCCCTTATGACATTTCGTAATACCCGAGATTCGAACGGCTCCATTAGAATTCGCGCTGGCAATTCGCAAAAGGTTACCCCACGGTGCGAAATAATTACAGACCGAGTTCGAATACCATTCGAAAGTATCGAATGCTGCCGTATACACAAGACAGCACGCTGCCTCCAAGACATTATAGGCGGTGCTTGGTATTATAAAGTTAACTCAATCGGCATACCTGTAAGTTTCTTTCCAGCTCGCAAGACATGACATTATAACCACTGGGTTCCCATAACCTCTGACTGACACTCGCGTCTGCGATACACTGCGACTGGAAATATGCTGACGGCACGTGGACTATACTTATCCTCAATCTCTATCGACATTCGTTTACCTTTCGTTTACGTTTTTAGAGCGTCCCGCGAGCGCAATACGGCAACGCGTGACATTTACGCTATACATGTCCACTCGTATTTGCCAACGTTTCTGTTACGAAATCTAAGATAGTGAATAGAGGGAGTCATTCGCGTCGAACGCACTACCTGAAGTTAGCCTGTACATTTTAAGTCTATGGCAGTACCATCCATCTTCAGGCGGTACGTTTGTACGTGAACAATTCTAGATACAATTTTATTTACTCTCAACCATGTAAGAGTGCTGATCGAACGACAATCAACATTGATAGAAATAAAAATTTACTCTTCTTTTTTTTTTTTTTTTAAGATACAAAGTTATGACCGACGCACTATACGCCGATTACGTCAAAGCGTATCGCACTTCGTCGAGTGAAACGTCTTCTTCGTTGGACTCGCGACGCGCGTTATCAAACCTTCTCTCTTTCTTCAGCGAGCTCGTAAACCCGAATGACATTTCAAAAGTCCAGATAGTCCTTAATCCGCTGACTCGGAAAGTTTTACTGCCAACTTTAGAACGTCGGAAATTGCATCGTCAGGTCGTGCCAGACGTAACCTTTTCCATTGGTCTTTACGCTTGTGTAAATAAAAAAAGATTGCCCGTATTTATTACCTCTTATAACGGAGAAAACAAAACGAACGAGACGACCCGCCGTCGTTCCCCCGTGAGCAATAAAATACGTATGTAAATATCGAAAAATTGTATAAACTGTCTATACCCACGTGATATCTAAAAAGACAAGAAAAATTCATAACCATTTATCGATATCGTCATCGTCACATCATCCCCGCAGCGCCAGTCAAATCTCCCCGTAGTTGACACATTTGTATCGAAATCGTCGCATAAAGTACTCGACGTTAAACGCTTTACTACGAGCGATAACGCCTTTAACGGCCAGAAGCCAAACGGCGAAACGATACTAGGCCGCAGTGCGGTACGATACGGCAATGGCAAAACCGCGTTACTTTATTGGGAAAATACTTATTGTCCGATGTAACGAGAGCACCATAAACCTTATGCTGAATCGCTCAACAAGCAAATACCATTACCAATTGCTTGATCAATTGTGCGAGGATCTAATATACCGGGTGTCTGTGAGAATTTTATGCTATGACCGCATATAGCATAGGTATATATATGTATACGGTCGACTACTTTTAACATAAAGATGATGGACTTTTGTGGAAAATTAGAGCGCTTCGCCTGCGGATACGATAAGTAATCTTTATGTGAGACGTAGCAGTGGGATTGCGATGGAAACATGCATTACGCAGAGAAAAAAGAAAAACCGGTCCAGGTTGCCCAGCGCTGCAAACGAGGCGCGAGCGAGGCGAGGCGAGACGTTCTTGAAAACTGAGGTGAAATTCAAGAGCAGATTGTAGTTGAAGCTTGACAAGGTGTGCCAGACTTATTAATTAACGAAGACTGGATCGAACGTTTCGTCAGATGTACGATAACCAGGCGTGCTATTAAATCTCTATCACGTGACCCAGTACTCCAGGATATCATAGCGATAATTAGAAAAATTTTCCCATAAATCATTCAAAGTGTACACAAATTTCACATAATCTACTGCTATTGACATAGGGTTGCTTGCGCGCAGAGATATGACCTGAAATTCCAATTGAAATTACCCTGTAGTAATTCACACGCGTTCCGAAGGACAGCGCTCGACGATATAATTAGCAATCAAAGGCAAATTTACGAGAGTCATAATTTACGTGGCAGTATGGAAACTGCGCCTGAGTGTAACTCGCTACAATAAATATCCGAATGAATATACGATAAGGTGTGACGAGAGGGGCGGGGAGGGGGGGGGAGAGTGCCGCAACGGAAGACCGCAAAGATCCGCATTGTAGACTTCGTACTCGAGTAACGTTGCGATAAAGTAAATGGACGTGAATGGGACTCGGCAAATTTCAGTATTTAAATGAAAACGCTATATATACGCGTACACAGGGACATTGAAGGAATCCCATTATCAATTAGATAATACGGAGCTATGAAAATTGTACGACAATGTGGCTCTTCGTTTCCGTAAGGATTCAGATGTAAAAGTAAAATAAAAAAATTGTACCCAGGTAGATCATATGGCATCTTTAGGATGACGAGATAAAATTTCATCGCGCTTCATACTGTCGTATACATCATGAGTCATGACAAAACGCGTCGATGAAATGATGTCTGTCAAAGTGGGAGAAGACGTGGAAGGAAAACAGTTTCTCAAGTGGAACCAATTTCCTAAGTTGGATCGCGCGTAGATTGCAGTCATTAGCCGTCATAAAATGTACGGTAATCGTAATGCGGTAACGCGGAAGCTGGATATCCCACTGCAAAGGCAATACACGTATAACGTTAACCTGGGGTATAGAGAATGACGATGTACATATAGCGCGTTTATGAATATATATATATATATATATATATATATATATATATATGTATGTATACAAAGTA